GTATCGTTCAGAAGAACCACATCCTCTTCGATCGTGGAGTTGAGCTTCTTAGCCGAACCAGACATTCCAAAAACTCCGACTGAAACTGCGCCGGATCCTCTCCGCTTCCGTCCCACTGCCAATAGCCGCAAGAGCTGAGTTCTGCAGAGATTGCAGAGATTGCAGAAGCCGCAGAGATAGAGGCACAGGTTCGATCGCCTGGTTCTAGAGCTTGCTTTTTGTTTCTTGGGACGGGGTCGTGGGCTGGCATAAGAAAGCAATATATCTCCAGATTTGACCTCTTCCTCCCCCTTGAACTGCCATTATTCTTAAGACGATATCCATATTGGCATATAACATGCTTCTTATGACGTGCCCCTGGACGGCCTGAATATCCATCCTCCGAAGGCTTTTTTTTACTCTTCTCTGGCCATTTTGCAGTCCATCCTTCTCATATATATCTATATATCCATATCTATACCTATTGTCTACATACTCCTCCAGCCATGGTCAGGCATGGCCCCGACCTCGAGTCGCTCGTGGTCGTACACCAATCCTTCCATCCCGAGTTTATCTTCTTATCGTACATCGTGAGCTTCGTTGGCTGTGCGACTTGTCTCGAGCTGCTGCATCGGCGAACAGCTCGTCTCGGACTCTATAACTGGTAAGCCTCGTCATATCATTTCTCCTGCTGGGGCGAGGAGGGCCACTTGAATTGGCACTTCAGTTGCTAAAACTGCAATGATCTCTATAGGTACCTGCTCATCACTGCTGCCGTGTGCATGGGAGGCATTGGGATATGGTGCATGCACTTCATCGGAAACTGCGCCATCCGGCTGCATAGGGGCGACCTGCAGTACCAGATATCGTACTCTTCCTCCTTCACTGTGACCTCCTTCTTCCTGCCGATAGTTGTGCTCTTGTTCGCCTTTTACTTCATCGGCGCCAGTGAACGGGCCGGCTACTGGTACATTATCGCCACGGGGACCCTGACCGGACTGGCTGTCTGTGGCATGCACTACGTCGGCCAGCTTGGAATCGCAAACTACTCGTGTACTTATCATGTTGGAAATGTCGTCGGTGCAGCCGTCATTGCCATCTGCGCCAGTATTACTGCCCTGGGCGTGTTCTTCAGGCTCAGGGCGTCATGGACAGACAACTGGTGGAAACGGCTCTTCTGCGCTCTGATTTTGGCTAGCGCCGTGTCTGGCATGCATTGGACTGCCGCTGTTGGAACCGTCTATCGAGTGACGAATGCTGGCGGTACAAGCGTACAGCTCTTCTCCTCCTCACAGGCCGTCATCATCTGCTGCACACTGGTATGCATTTGAAACTTGCTCTTCCTCTCAGCTCGACGTGTACTTGTGTATCATTCACTAACTACGTGTGTATAGTCACTAAGCTCGTGCTTCTTCCTGATCTGTCTGGCCGTGGTTGCTGGTCGCCAGCGTAAGAGAATGGCAAAGAGAGTCCAGCAGCTCTCCCTTGCCTGTGCCTACTTCGATTCCTCTGGAAGTGTCATGGTAGCCCCAGACGGCAGCATTCCAACTCACAAAATAACGAATCACTATGTTGAACGAGTATGTCTTCACTTTTCTTTCGGCTTAACCCGCCTGCAAAATTCGCCGTCCATACTGACCAGGTTACCTTCTCTGCCAGAGCTTCGCGGATGACGAGTTTAACAGAGTACACCCGGCATTCCTCTGGGCATTCAGAGCGAGCCGAAACTGGACGCATCTAAAACAGTTCATACGAGGCATGAACTACAATATCAAGTCTGATGAGTCAATGAAGCAATACTTCCCGGGCTCCACCACTACCCCGGACACCGGCGACACCAACATCAACTTCGAACTCATCTTCAAGCAGCTTTTCTGTATAGCCGCCCAGGGCCTCTCGGACCAGCTGCATCTGCCGCTGGAGAAGCTGGGAGTGCTCTATGACGACGTTGTGTTAACTGGAACACAGTCAGCAAAGCCCGGCAAATACCGCACTGGTGACCCTGAGGCTGCGCCCACGCCGACGACTATTGTAGGCAAGGGCCAGTGCATATTTATAGTGCGCCAGCTCAGCAAGCAGGAGACTATTGACCTCTCTATGAGCGGGTACCGTTTCGCTGCTCCCAATCACATCTCCGGCGCTCTGGCCAGACTGATGCAGGTAGAGCCGAGGGACATGCTGGACAACCTGACGCGGATGAGAGACTACTCCGCGCCCGAGAAGATGCTCGATCCGGGCGTCTACCTGGTCGGATTCTCGCTCTACCCTTCTGTCTGGACTGGTTTCGACGTGCTTGTATACGGCGACGCGCCGAACCTGCTCCCCAACGTGCGGTTACCCATCGAGTCGGTGACACAGCAACACCTAGACATATTATCGCGGATGGATGGATGGCCGCTGTCCCTCTGCTTGAAGTGGCTCAAGGCAAACGGCGGCTTCGAAGATCCCGAGGCCCAGACGTTCTGCCAAGCCGTATACGGAGCGGCGTCGAATCTCTCTGCCTCGGTCGACAGCCCGACGTTTGCCCAGGCCAAATTCTCGTCTCGACAGATCAAAATCCCCTGCCGGTCACCGGGCCACGCGGAGGCGACAGGCCAGTGTACAGCATTCTCCTTTCACATCATAAACGGGCTGCTGACACGGACGACGCCGCCACATCTACGTCTTACTCCTCTGCGGCTGTTCAACGTGCAGCAGCAGGTATACCCAGGCATTCCCGACCACGCGGTGTTCCAGGATAACGTACGGGACGAATTCGGGCACTGTCTGTATGATGACGACCTCAAGGGCAACAGATCGCCCATCCCCCCTTCGACGGCCCAGTCTATGTCTCTACGGGCCAACTCCCTGATCCATCCCGGGGACGACCAGAGGAAGAGCAACAGGCATTCAGGCAATAGGCAGTCAGATACCTGGCGGCCCACCAACGGCGGCATCATGATCCGCAACCAGATCACTGTGGACGTGTCGCAGAAGGAGGAGCCGAAGCCGTCCAGCGCCGGTGCCTTTGAGATGCAGAGTGTCGGAGCGACCGTGGAAGCAGGCTACGTCAAGGACGACGACGAAACCTTTGTCGACGAACTGTGTGCCATCTGCCGGAAAGCAGCTGCCGAGCAGGACAGGAACAGCTAGCTGCGGAGACCGCATCTCGACTTGTTGATCCTTATTCCCCTTTTCCTACTGTCCATTTTTTATTTTTTATTTTTTATGTTTATTTTTTTAATTAATATGGCACAGCTGATGCCATAGAGACGTATGCTCACATATACTTTTGTACATAACAAATATATTAATATAATGAACACGAGACTACAGAGTCGAGCCCCCATCTCGGCAGCATCGTCATGCGTCTGCATATCACCTCTCCGTTCTCCATGTGTGATTACAGTACGGAGTAGATTAACGGGCTCCATATCTCGAGACTGACCTACCTTGTTGCTACAAGCGTTTCTGAAGGGCTTAAAAAGAAACGAAGATGAAAAAGAAAAGAGAAGGAAAAAAAGAAATAAACAAGGCAAGTAAGTAGTAATATGCTCGTTAATTTAAAAAATAAAGGCGGAAGACGAAGAAGAAGAAGAAAAAATCGCGTCGTCATCCCAGCGCATCCTATGATGATGGCCCTACGCAGATCTGTGTTTTGGAAAAGCCTGCTGAGGGCTATGACGAGATGCCTAGGTAGTTTGTAAATAGACGCAATGCGTGAAGCCTTTCCTCCCACTGCTGCAGCCAGCCCTGCCTCCGCAGCCAGATGTTTCGGCCCTGGGCACGACTTCAAACAGCCATCTCGACGCCGTCGGCCTCGCCCTTGGTGACCGTCTTGCCGGTCTTCTTGATGACGACCAGGACATCCTCGTAGGAAACAGAGGGCTCGGTGATAACCTGGGCGTTTTGCGCATCGAGGCTGACCTCGAACGACTTGACGCCTGCACTCAGAGTCAGTCAGGATGGCCACCTCTCTTTCTATGCTTAAGGCGGGGAGAAGACAAAAAAAAAAAAAAAAAAAAGCGCGACGAAGAACGAAGGGAGCCGGGCCATCCGTACCGTCCAGCTTCTTTAGCACACGCTCGACGGCGCCGGAGCAGCCGCCGCAGCTCATCTTGATGTTGAAGGTGTATGTGTGGTCTGCCATGGTGACTGGCTGGTCGTAATCTCGGCTCTGTCTCTCGAGCGCAGAAGGAGCTCCAACCCTGGCGCGAGATCGGTCTCGGGAGTCTGTCTCTGTCTAACAAGCGCAGGAAGGGGGCTGGCGGGCAGACTTCTCTCGTCTTCTCTCTCGCCTTGTCCGGTCCTGTCGAAGGGGGGGAGGTTTTGTATCGCGAGCAGGGCCCAGGAGGGTCGGTTGGGCGCAAAAAAGAAACGAGCCAAGCAACTCCGGCCACTGCAGCGCTGACTATGCGGCCGCGTCCAGGCGACGGTGATACCACTGCTGGGGACTAGCTGCGACGGCCGGCGACCTGCTGACCTCTGCTGCTCGATCTAAGGTAGCCCAACTATCCTGCGTCCTGCGTCGTGCGTCTTGTTGTATTCTTCTTCTTCTCTAGTCGTTCTCGCTGGCCAAATCAAAAAAGCAACAAAAAGCCTCGCGATGACGTCCTGGATTAGTCAGCAGGGCTTATCTCGCTCGCCCACCTGAAACACCGCGAGAGGCGAAAAAAGCGACCAGCCAGGAGGACGAACGCTCGCCCGTCTGCGCTGCTCTCTGCTCTCTGCTCTCTGCTGCTGGGCTGCAGATTCATGCTGCAAGACAACCGGCAGACCAGGCAACTTCTCCCCCCAGGACAGACACGATGGCCTGTCCCGACGACGTCGACGCGCACAGCACCGCTCCAGCGCCCGTCGCTATACCCGGAGACCGCCCCCAGGACATCGAGATGGCCGCAGACGACTCGGCCGCCGGACACGCCCTTCCTCCCCGTCTCGCAGCGCGGTTCAACCGGGTCTCTGCCACCTACAGACGTGCCTCTGTGCCGTCCATCTCCCGCCGCAACTCGGCCTCGTCGATACACTCGAATCTCACGGTCCACGGAGCTCCCCATGGCGACCCCATGGCCGCCCCCCATATCCGTCGAAACCTGATACTGGAATCCCGCAAGGCCCGTCTGGCCGACAGGGCCGCTCACGTCGAGAAGGTTAGGCTGCGTGCGGCCCTGGCGAAGAACGGCACCAAGACCGCTGCGATCAAGGAAGAGAGAGCCCGGGCTGCGCAGAAGACCCGCGAGAGGCTGCTGGCTGATATCACCGCAAAGTGCGAGGAAGAGGTGCGCCGCGCAAAGAAGAAGGCAGAGGACACCGAAGAGAGAAAGGCAGCCCAGCGTGCCAGACTCCGTCTTGAGATGGTCGAGAAGTTCGCCGAGGCTGAAAGACGCAGACAGCTCTACCAGGAGACCCCCCGCCGACGCCGTACTTCAAGCATCCCGACCGTCCCGGCTGCGCCGGCTGCGGAAGGGATAAGCGTTGCCGGCGGTGTTGGCGGCCATATCAAGCCAGCAGCCATACGGCTTACCCCGGCTGCGGCCGCCCATGTTATTCAAAGGGTGTGGAGAAATCATCGCTCACGAGTCCTGGTTGGAAAGTACCTGGGACTGAATCTCACTCTTGAAAGGATCGGGTTACTAGGCTTCGAGAGGACCGGAGCCCTGGTGGCCAGTGAGACCACTCTGGATGTGACCGCGGCCATGCTTCGACTCTGCGGCCTGCAAGATACCCAGGGAGGTGCCCTTGGTGAAAGAGGTGCCGTTCGCATCTTTCTCAGCAGTTACGTCATTGCAGCCTTTCCAGAGCACGTCCTGAGCAGCGATGGGGAGCAGGAACAGGACCTGATTGCCAAAGCCAGGGAGCTGCTTGTTATCTTTCAAAACCTGCTTGATAAAATCGCTGTACGTGGCCTGGCCAACGTCTCGTTGTCTCCCAACATGCTCTCCTTGTCAGAGGCCTACAACATGTTTGTCTCTGCCTTCCATGCCTGGAAATCTCGTGATTCCACCGTGCTCATTGAGATCATGGTTGCTCAGTTTACTGAGCTTGAGCTCATCTGGCAGACCGTCAAGAATGATCGGGCGGGAGGTGTTGCAGATGATTACCAGCAAGGCATCCGGTACAACCAGACCTTGCTCCTTGCGAGGCTGAAACGCCTCGTTGGATCCGAGAAGGCTATGAAACTGATCAAAAAATCACTGAAGAAGGCCAAAAGCACTAAACAGGCTAATGTAGCCACCGAGAACACCATTCCCAGGGCTGTGGACAAACCATCGGCTTCTGCCGAGGGACTGGCGGAGTCATCCAAGCCGCCGTTTGAAGAAATGCTTCACTACGCAACCGCTAACTTACCAGAATCTCGCCTAGAGGAAGAATCAATCTCACCACAGGACCGGCTAACCAGGGTCCTGACTGCTCTCCCTAACAACCGAACGCTGGTTCACGAGCTGCTGATCAATAGAGACTACCGCATCGAACAGGACCACTATACCCAAGTCCGTCGACAGATCATGAATCATGTCTGTGATATAATGAGAAGAGAAGTTGCCGCTGGCTACGGCACAAAGTGGACTGTTGCTTTAGCTACAGTCATCCAAGACAGACTACTACGTTTCCTCAGACAGGGAAATTCCTTGCATAATCTGATTACCGAAGTCCTTGATCCCACACACATTGAAAAGAAGTGCAATTCTGGCACCTTTTCATATGACACCTTCTTTGATTTTATGGGGAATATCCTTTCCAAATTGTGTGCTCCATTTCGAGATGCCGTTGTTGAAGAGTTTGCAAAGGATAAGTCAGGAGACGAGATTGACCGTCTTTTACGGCTGATGGGGATAATCGATCTACTCTCACTGGATCATACCAACTTCATGCTCCAGGTAGTGTCGCCTCAGTTAATCGAAGAAGCACCACAATATGAACAACGCTTGTTTGAAAGGGATCTACAAAATGGGTCCATTACACTTGACAGTACTAGGGAGTTCTGGAAGTCAAATCTTGCCATGTTTGGTGCTACCGACTCCCAGCCAGTCATGGGCAAGATCTATGCTCAGGGAATGGTTGATCTTGTGCTGAGCAACACAGCCATTTCCCAAAGACGTATTCCCGAGACTCTTCAGGCTGACTATGCAAGGCTTGGACAGCTCCGATCTCAAGGCTTCAAGATCGCCGCTACTGCTTCAATATTGCTTACTGCCAAAAACCTCCTGAAACGCGATGTGCGATCTCAATGGAAGAGCGAGGCAGACCGGATTTTATCCCTAGACTGGCAGGATATCAAGGCAGAGCGTATTCAATCAATCATTGATTCTACTCATCCGATGCCCACAGCGGCCAGGTCCCAGCTCTTGAGCACAATAAAGCGTGTGGTTGGCCCGGCTCTGGTCGCAGCAAATGCAGCGTCTGCCCTTGCGCCTCCTAGTCTATCTGTCACCACTACATTCCAGTCTTTCACCGTCAAGCCGTCCCCGGGCCCATCGGACGCTGGTTCTGACCCCTCGGGCAACCCCATATCCTTTACAGATCCGGTGGCTCGACTTATGCTTACTAGACTTCGATCCCATATTCTGGCTCGTTTAAGCGCCGCAAACACCAGGGAACGAGTGAAGATGACTACCACTGCAAGCCAGGGGCTTGCCAGTGCTGGAATGCCTGAGTTTGTTAGTGAAGTGGGCAAAATCGTGGAAACTCTTGACAAAGTCCGTGAGGTTGACTGGTTGTGTCATGGACTTGTCCACGAGAAGATCTGGCATGAGATTTCCACCAACGCATGACGAGATTGCTCTCTCCTTCTTCCATCTTCTTCTATTGGGATATTTCCTATACTCCTTTATTCTTTTCCTTATTTCCTTAACCCATTTCTTTTTGCCTAGACACAAGGAGTTGTTTTTTTAGTGTCGTTTGGTTCAAGGTCATATATATCGTCCCGAATGGCTGCGAAGCTATAACTATACTAATCGTCTGCTAATTACTACACCTGTGCGGCTCTTCCTATCAAGTCTCCCTATTGGTTCAGAGTTTGTTTTTATTTCTCTCCTTTTCTCTCTCTTAACTATATAGCAAATATATAGCAAATTGCTGAACGTTGGTCGATATCAACCTACGTTGATTGTACATCTATGATTATGTAATAAGCTAAGAATGGATGTTGTGATGTCACATGTTGGTTATTTTTTTCTAAGCGTCGTCCATACCTTAGTTAATTAACAGCTTTCAAGAAGCGCGCTCAAAAAGACCAACAAGATAAACCCCAACGGGACAAAACAGCACCAGCGCTTGATTGATATCTACTGCTGCGCAAAAGCTAGAGAGTTGAGTGTCCTTGGGCACAAGAAGCCTTTATGGAATACTCTACCTAAACCGTCATGGGTGCGACCCGGATGTGGAATGGGGAGAATGGTCGCAAAACACCGTGATATTCTCTTTGCGTGTGTGGGTGGCTTCATCGCATGGGGACTCATAACAAGCTGGTATCCGTTGATACGCTTTATCGGATACTCGTTCCTACTAGGGGCTACCGCTACTTTGACCTCTCTCATTGTGATTCTCATCATCAGTGTTAAGCGTCCTGATAACGGCTCCGGCTCTTCGAGACTATGCGGCCAACCTGTGGCCTTCCTATCTCCCGATAACTGGAAGCAGGATTTGGAAGACTACAGAGACAATACCAGCTACCAACCTACGCCCCTTTATCCGCAGTCGTTTATCGTTTCCGCGGCGCTGGATGAATTGTTGAATTTAATCAGGAGAGATTTCATTGAGACGTGGTACCAGCACATCAGCAGCAATCCCGGCTTTGCTGACGAGATCGATTCCATAGTGAGGGCAACAGTTGGACGCATAAGAGACTGGCTGTCGAAAGAAGATTTCGTGGAAATATTTGTCTCGAGGATCGTTCCTATATTTACTAGCCATTTAAAAGATGTCGACCTCGCGGAACGAGCTGTGAGAGGCAGAAACCTGAGCCATGGAGTGACGGAATCTGAGGAGCTGGAGATAGCAATTGCTGCTAGATATCGAGAAGGGAATCTTCATCCGGCCGCTGCGAGATCTTCGCCAGACGTGGCGCATGTGCAGCAGGAACACTTGCGCAAGATCGTAGTGGCTCTTTTGCCCACGATTCTACCTGAAAGTCAAGCAAACAGTAGGGCGGTGTTAGTTCTCACCCGAGAAATTATAGCATGCGCCATTTTATTTCCTTTAATTGGCGTCCTTGCGGATCCGGATACATGGAACCAGCTGATGGAAGCCTATGGACGAACAGCTCTTCAGGACCGCAAAACCGTCAGGAGGCTACGTGAGGCACTAGATCAGCATGCTTTGCCTCTAGCAAAGTCCAAACAAGGACATATGTTTCCAAAGCTAGGTCCAAATGACTCTGAGAGGGAATTTGAACGTTTTATGAGGGGCATCCGTCGCTGTAATAACTTATCTGACGCGAGGAGATTTAGGAACAATGTTGCTAGCCAACTTAAGCGTGAAACAATGTTTAATGGACATGATCCAATCTATATCCGGCGCCTAGAAACAGCAAAGAGGGCCTTGGACCAGAAAGTTGCAAAGCTATCAGCTCCAAATGGCGCTGGGAATACCCAGCCATCCGCGTCGGATCAGGTATACCACAACACTCTGAGGTCACAGGGCATCTCCTTGGTCGATGTTCTGCATGATGCGGCGGGCCTGTCGTATTTCATGGAATATATGGACCGTCTGGGCCTCATGTCCTTGGTTCAGTTTTGGTTAGTGGTAGACGGATTTAGAAACCCGCTAGAGAACGATATGGGGGATGATATGACGTCTGCACCTTCATCTTGGACCACTGCAGACAGGAATGACATGATTTTGATAAGTGAGAACCACTTGTCAAAACCGGAGCTGAAAGTTGATGAAGAATCTCGGAAGATTGTTAAAAGCTTCATTTTAGCTGGTAAGCGGGCGACGCCAGAGCAATACTGGAAGGCAAGGAAGGCGGTTCTAGCAGCGCAGTCCACAGTCCTTGAGAGCATGAAGTCTAAGTATTATCCTGGGTTCAAGAAATCAGATCTCTATTACAAGTACCTAGCTTCAGATGAGGCAGCCGCTACGACCAGTGTTACATCCCCTTATATACAGCCAAATAATCCACCCCTTGCCCGGTCTCACACCTCAGGGAATTACCAGCCATCCGGGATATCTTCACCCATGCTTCGAACCGACTCTCAGTCCATCACAAAAAAAGAATCGCGCCGGAAACAACCACTATTCAGCTCCGAGACACTTGATACTGGGCGACCTGCAGACCTTGACCATTTACCACTTTTTAGTGACGATGTTGAGCCGGAAAACCTAGAGTCCTCCACCTACAGTCTTGGTAAAGATTCTCAAAGCGGAGAGGCAGAGGTGCAAGAAAAAAAGATCCTGGAAAATATGGAGGCTGCTCTCAATGATATCATCTCAGACACCCCAAATGACTTCAAGGCCGATGGTCCGAGGAGTAGCTTACCATCACCATCACCCAGAGCCTCGATTGACATGGGCCGTATGGACGGGCAGGCAGCCGAGAAGGGGAAACCCAGCATATCGTCACTGGGCCTGGTTAATACATCTTCCCGTATCGGAGTTTTTACTGACGATGACTTATTTCCTGATCAAGAAAAATTCATTGAGGATGAGTATGCAGATCCGGACGTGCCTGAACCCGATATACCCATAGAAGAAGAAATCCATGAGGCAGCGCCTGGAGACTTGGGCCTTACAGAAGCAATATCCGCTTTGACAACCGATATAGAGAAGCTTGTTTCGCAGGAGTCCGTGATTGACTCCCTGACCAGAAAAGCTGAATTAACAAACAACGTGGCTGAACTGCGTATTTTGGGGAAATCTAAATCTAGCTTAAGAAGGGAGATTAGGCGTAAAGAAATGCAGAGGCAGCAGTACATTGTGCAGGAAAGCGATAACAGCTTATACGGACGATCAACAGTTCAGATTCCGTCAATCCTTCTTGACAAAGAGCCGGACGGCCGCGAGTATGCCTTATGTGAGTTGTACCTTGTTTGTTGGTATTACAATGGCTCATCCCTTCTGACTTGTGGCTGCTATTCGTTTTTTAGATGTGATTGAAGTGAAGCGGCAGGCGGGTGAACAGATGCCGGTGGCTTCGTGGGCAGTTCCCCGAAGATACAGCGAGTTCCATGAGCTACACCAACGGCTTCGAGCAAGATATCCTTCCGTGAGGAACCTTGAGTTTCCACGACGTCGTATGGTAATGAAGCTCCACAAAGATGTCCTCAACAAGCGTCGAGTTGCATTGGAAGCATACTTGAAGCAGATCCTGCTTCTACCTGATGTATGCGGCAGCCGTGATCTCCGTGCATTCTTGTCTCAGCGAGCGATTGCACCTACTCGAGAAGAGTCTGGGGAAGGGGAAACTAGGGATATAGTCACTCGGCTTTATAATTCGGTGGCGGACGGTATGGATGATTTCCTTGGAAACATCGCCGTGCTTGACCAGCTTTCTACAGCTGGACAGAACCTCATTTCTGCTGCAACGAACCAGTTGAATGCTCCCCAAGCTGCAGGACTGGGCTTTGATGAGGCCGCTACTTCAGCAGAAGCAGAGGCGGAGCTGAATGCGTTTGAAGACCGAGAGCTAGAACCCTTTATCAAGCCAATCTGCGATATATTCCTGGAGATATTTGAACTGACAAGAGGTAACAACTGGCTTCGTGGAAGGGCGGCTGTTGTTGTGCTGCACCAGCTGCTCGGGGGAACGATCGAGCGTAAAGTACGAGAGAATGTTAAGTCCCTGCTACAAGATTCGTCTTTACTACACTATGTTGGGCTTGTGAAGGATGCCATGTGGCCAGACGGGAGGCTTCGTGAGGTCAAGGTTCGGACAAGCTCGGAGAAGATGAAGAGCCGGACAGAAGCGGGCGTGATGCTAGCTACTTTGATACCGGAAATGGCGGCTGGTGTCGTTGGACGGGCAAATGCACAGGCTGCTGCCAGACGGATATTTTCTACGCTGAACAATCCACGATTGAACCTACATCTTGTTTATACCATCCTTGATGAGATTCTTCTCATTTTGAATGGGAGATGAAATATTTGTCGTAAATATACGTGTGTATCAACAGACCGTTTTAAGAAAGAGGCTAAAAATGAGAAGAGAAGTGTCATAGAAAGAAGAGTTTCGAATTATCTCAATACGATGACTCGACGCCCCTTTGTGACAAAGAGTATCTAATGCCGGTTTGCTAGCCATACATAATGAAGACAACCTATGAATCACGAATAACTGTGAAAGCTGAATTGATTGGGGGACGAAGATCCTACTCAGTGGCGGCACCCTTCTTTTTGCTCTTCTTGGGTGGTGGTGCCCCTTCCTTCTTTTGATGTACAATGAGTCTTGTCCACGACTCCTTTTTTTCCCCCTGGAATCCAGCTAGGAGGGGGTTATTTAGTTCGTCATCGCCCCAGAAAGAGGGTTTAACAACAGATTTTTCAAACAGGGGGGTTATTTTTTTTTTTTTTTTTTTTTTTTTTTTTTTTTTTTTTGGGGGGGGGGGGGGGTTGAGATGTGACTAGAAGCTTACCTTCTTTTTGAATTGCTTGTAGATAGCATCGAGAGCATCCTTGATAGTTACGCCCTTGAGGTTTCGAGCAGTGACCTCAAGGCCAAGTGGGAAGTGTAGGTCAATCTTCTTGACGGGGGGTGTGGTGAGAAACTTCTTGAGGGCATCCTTGTCCTCCAGGGACGCAGGCGAGGTGTTGAGCTTCCTGTACGCCTGGTTAGCACCACGCTGGCCACCGGTGCGTGTAACCAATAACTCTAAATGCACACAAAGAAAGATGACCTTCTTACCAGTTGAGCTTCTGTGTTTCTATGGCTATCTGGAGTTCGATCCCTTTTTCTTCTACATGGTTGAAGCAAGAGAAACATAAGCAACGCTATCTCTGGACGCAGGGGAAGATGTGTAGTGGAAGATGGGTAACATACCTAGGTCCTTGATGTTCATGACATCCGGGTTTGCATTCTTCTTTGTCGTGTCTTTCTTCGCTGTCTTCTTTTCTGCTGGCGAGGGGAGGCCAGCGACGGCGGAGTCGACCTTGGTGAGGGTAGACATGATGGATTGATGGATGTGAGATAGGACGAGATAGAGGTCGTGCTGAAGTGAATGCCTGGCCCGGCTATGTTAGTGATGGAACGAAGCCACGACACCAACGCCTAGAGTAGAAAAGAGATGGCTGGACGATACCAATGGAGGCCTTGTACGGTGCTGTAATTGAGGCGAGCCCGAGAAGGATGCGATGGGTCGAGGTTGAGAGTGCCGTTGTCGTCGTTTTTGTAGCTGCTGTGCTGGCAGAGCAAGGAGAAGAAGAAGAGAAGGAGAAGATGCAGAAAGGGGAGAAAGCGGGGTAGTTTATATACAAAGGAGCTACGCAACCGGCCGTCCGAAAGGGGAAAGGGAGCAGGCCGGTACCTTAGCAGGACCTCGCGCTGCCACCAGCCGCCGCCGCTGCCGCAAAGTACCGCGCAAGTACCGCGCAGGTCACGCTCCTGCCTGGGGGGGTTGGGAGGCCGCCGGCCGCAAAGTCACCTGAGCTGGCGTCACACCATCCGGAGTTTAAGCATGCCTCGTTGCTGGGGTTGCTACCTAATAATGGTTTGTCTTGATGCTCTTGCCCTGCCTTGCTCCGGGGAACGCGGCCTTGTCTCTCCTGCAGCCCGGTCTCACCCAGCATCTGCACCCGGCCCCGTTTGATATGCTGAAGTTAGACTACGCATCGTGGTGGCAGCCATCGTCCATCATGATGGCTAGTTACAGCTCGCTCCCTGCCGTTGGGAGAGCTTCTCGCGCATGGCCTGATCTGTGGCATGATGCTGCCTCTCGCCCTCGCTCGCCCTGCCGCTGCATAATTAGCTGTCGTCTGTTATGATGCCATGATGGAGCAGGGATGCGCAGATTACATAAGTAGCGGCATGCACCCCGCATCCCACTTGCCCCGAAGCGGAAATTCGGCGGACGACCCGGTGGAGCGCTCCACCTTTTGTCCGCTTTGAGTTTCACGTGATTTTATGATGACCAAGAAATTACTTAATATAGTCATGTGATATGTTAGTCAGCTTTGCGTAATCCTCGAGCTTCAACTTTTTTCCTTCCATCGACGTTGAATTTGGAATGCATACAAAACAGCCTAAATCACACTTGCAGCTTAGTTGATTGAACGCGCCGCTCCGAGGGAAGAAGGATTCTGGCTCTGCCTGCTACTAGTGCTTTGCATTGGGCTTCATTTGCAGGCGCGTTCTTCGTTCACTTTTCTTCTGATACCGAGAGTGTCATTTTGATTTCCTACGATACGCTACAATGACGGGCCTGTTTGGCAACATCTCCTCGAATACCGCCGCAGCGACCTCCACAACGACGGGTGACATTTCAAAAGATGTAGCCCTAGTTGCCCCGCCAGAGGATAGTATTTCAGACCTAGCCTTCTCCAGCCAGAGCGACCACCTAGCCGTTGCATCATGGGACAAGAAAGTGCGCATCTACGAGATCAATGAGCAGGGGATGAGCGAAGGAAAGGCTATGTTCGAACACCAGGCACCCGTTCTTAATTGCTGCTGGTCTCCGGTACGTTCTAGAGAGGGAAACTTGCCGCTCAAGGCATACATATCCGGTTGTACATGCTAACCAATTCTCTTAGGATGGCTCAAAAGTGGTCGGTGTCGGAGTAGACAAAGCTGCCCGTATGCTCGACCTTCAGGGTAACCCTACCACTCCTGTTCAAGTTGCTGCACATGACGCACCCATTCGAAGCTGCTGCATGATTCAAAACCCAGGAAACTCAGCTCAGCCGCTCCTCGTCACCGGCTCGTGGGATAAAACTGTAAAATACTGGGACCTAAGGCAGTCTACCCCAATTGGAACTCTACAGTGCCAGGAGAGAGTCTACTCCATGGACGTTAGCAAAACCCTTCTTGTCGTTGCCACCGCCGACAGGTATATCAACATCATCGACCTCAATCAACCAACGAACATTTACAAAGTCATGCAGTCTCCACTCAAGTGGCAGACACGGGTTGTGAGCTGCTTTACCGACGGAACCGGGTTTGCGATAGGAAGCATCGAAGGCCGATGCGCTATTCAGTATGTTGAGGAAAAAGACTCAAGCTCGAATTTCAGCTTCAAATGCCACCGTGAAACTCCCCAGGGTCAATCGAACGTGAGCAACGTTTATTCTGTCAACTCTATTGCTTTCCATCCTCAACACGGCACATTCAGCACTGCTGGGAGCGACGGGACCTTCCACTTCTGGGATAAAGACGCAAAACATCGTCTCAAAGGTTACCCATCCGTCGGAGGCACCATATCCACCTCAACATTTAACAGAAACGGTAATATTTTTGCGTACGCCGTTAGCTATGACTGGAGCAAAGGTTATACTGGCAACACTCCTCAGACACTCAACAAAGTCATGATGCACCCAGTCACGCCGGAGGAGGTAAAACCAAGAGCAACATCAACAAATGCTCGAAGGAACAGATAATCCGGTTTTGTTTCCTCAATAACC